AGGGAGGTTTGAATCTTTAAAAGAGCATGGCTGTGAAGTGCATTGAATGGTCTTCATAATGGTTATTTCTGTTCAGAACCCTATACGGATGTGAAAACTGTAAACACCCGCTTTAAAACAACAAGTGAAAAGCTAAACGACTAAAATAGCTCTCGGTACCTAAGTCCTCAACATTTGTTCGCAACGTCAAATGATAACTTGAAAGACTTGCCTTTTATAGGCAACCCTTTAGTCGAAGTCATGCCTGTCACATTTTGCGTTCCGCCGCATGACAAGGTAGGCTTTTCACTGCATCTCATGAAGCTCAAGGTAATGCAAACAGTTACAAACAGTATATATTTAGCTATGTCAGGTCATTTAAAACCCCGTTTGTTCAAATGTGCCACATAGACTAAGCCAAACAGAAATCTTATACGGACGGTATGCACCGCTGACCCATGTATGATGCAACATCTCAATCGCTACCCAGATCTGTTTGTTTTGTCGTCGTATCATGCTTAGTTCCTGCGATAGCGAGATCGGTCTTCAAACACAAAATGTAATCTGCATGAACTGATCTGGCATATCACCGAACACACCACTTGAAGGGTTTCTGCCTCTCAATGGCTTGCTGTGACAAAGGCTATGTATACTGCACTTCCCACTATGCATGGGTGCACAGATCAGAAGAAAGAAAATGGCTCAAGCTTTGATTGATCAAGTAATGGATTATGATTTAAAAGTTCCTAGAGTCAGTTAGACATTTGATTTACCGAGAGGTGCCGGTTAACCGACATTGTAAAGCTAGGGACCGGCTATATTGACGCTACTCAATATTTTGAGCTGAGATCATCCTCAATAGTAGATGACCTCTTGTCTAGAGAGCATGATGCTCAAAACGGGGTAAACTCAAGAGAGGATGATGCTCATCTACTAACGTCCCATCGTTGTTCAGCACAACAACATCCTGGCACATTAAAGGTCGTTTAAATAACTTAAAAATTTTGAACTCATAAGGCCGAAAACCAGGAGCTGAATTCCTCCCTTTGTTTCATCAGGTAAATGATTGATTTATTACACATTGACATTTATTGATTGGCTAAAGAGTATATTTCTCTAGCATCTTTCGAGGTGGCCTGGTGGGAAAACAAAGCGAGTCCGAGGGCTGGGAAAGGTGGGAAAAATGTCCTTTCAATAAAGGATAGTCTGCGCAGGGGCGAATTTTTTAAAATGAAATGGTGAGACTGCGCAGGAAAGCATTGCTTAACTAAACGTGGGCCGAAACAAACTAAAAAATGGGTGTTTGTTTTCACGAATTTGGCCCACCTTTTCAAAACTGCAGGGCCGAAACTCTCCAAATAGATAAGGCAACTACACCACTGGAGCTGTGCATGAGGTATCTTGCTTTACTGCCCGACATCGCTATAACGTATTGAGCTCAAAGCAAAATATCCCGCGGTTTTGGCAACGAACGGCTGTGACCTATTCAGGATGACCTGAACCTGTCCTTCAGGACCTGTCCTTTTGGGAACAGATTCCTCGCCTGCAGATTTGACCCCATTACGGCTGTTGTATTTCTTCCCCGAAAGAAAGACTCCTTCGACTCTTTCAACTCACTGATAATGAGTGCTTAACATGGGTGTGCACAGGGTTTTGTGTTGGAGGGGTCTTAAATAAAGTTTTTCACTGAAAACCAAGTTAAGCATGCCGAAGAGACGCGAAATGTATTGCATGACGTCATACAACCTCGAGTGCTCTTGATCCACTCATTTGCACGTGTCTTCTCCAAATGGTTTTAATGTTAGCATTTAGTCGCGCTCATATTGATGCATACCAGGAATTGACCAGGCAGAGGCACATGCCCCAGGGTTCATTATGCGAGTACGTCCCTGGTGCTCACTGAGCTCCATCCTCTTTGCCCTTAAGAAAATCCTGGCTGCCGCGCTGTAAACACTCGCACGCAACAAACGCAGTAAGCCTTGAAAACGTGCACCTTGTCCGTGCACTGAGCAACACGTGCATGCATGAACCCCGCTTTCCAAAGCAAATAATTACCTTCGTGATCAGCTCTTCAGGAAAAGGTTTTCCATTCCACTTGGCCACGTTTCTTAGCACCTCCTCGGCCTTGTCCTTCCGGCCGACTGCCATCAGCCACCGTGGTGACTCGGGAAGAAAGCTGAAACGTCCCGGTTTTATCAGTCAGCTTAGGCATAATCGATTTCGTTGCCGAAAACTGAGACTGTGTGCTGGTACCTTGAGGCTGAGTTCGAGTCTGTCGCATGCTTTTGAATCGCATGAGTTTAGCTTTGAGCCGTGGTGACGACGTGCAGTTCGTACCTGAGTCGCAGCTAGTTCAGAAGTGCACTAATCTGGGCCCTGGTCTGAGTACTGGTGTCTTGACTATGAGTGCAATGAACCCAGAGGTCTGAAAGCACACTTAAAACTCCTACTCTAGGAGGGTTTTTAATGGCACGGGTATTGCATTCAAAGAATGTAACGTTACTCAGTTGCATCTCTAACTGATTTTGGCAAATGCCGCTCTTAAAGGCAAAACAATTTAAAACTGAACCGACCAACCACCAGAGCCTAAAAAAGCAAATAACGTAATTGCCTTGGCCATTGTGTAATTTGGCCAAAAGGTAATCAACGTAATCGACTTGGCCATAAGATAATCAACAGGCCGTTGTGTTGATTACCTTATGATTTTCAATTTGAATCACTCAAGGACTGCGTTTCCAGACCTCGTTAAAGAGCCTGAACGTGACTGAGACTGAGAGGCTAAGCGAGCGATCTTAACTCACATGCGTGGAAAGTGGCGGCATTTGCTCCTGATCGTGAGACAATTTTTTTGCCAGTGGCCAGTCTTCATACTGCAACATTTCTGCGACGACGTGCTGCATACTGTGGCGTTTTGGTTTGGCCGTGGATCCCATGAAATCTGGTGCTTACTAACGCCATTTAAGTGGGTGGAGCATTGGAGTAATGCTTTAAACGTTATGCCGTAGTAACCCGAAAAGAAGAGCATGACAATTTTACATTTCTGCTGCTCTGCACTCTTAAGGGCGAACAAAAGCCGGATCATTGAAGCATCCATTTTTGGCTTGGTATGGAAAACTTCTATCAATTTTGCCTTTACGCTCGATCTCTTCGACTCGCCCCGGACTGCTCTCCGGCGTCATCCTCGCCAGACCGGGGTAAGTTGTGTCTCACCCCGATACCTTGGCACCCGCGCACAGAACGGGCAAAGACAAAAACATTCACGGGAAGCTCTTTCCGAAAGATGATGGTAGGAGCCAGCGTGTTCTACTTCATATCAATTCTGTGTCCATATACCCAATGAAATGGCAAAATAAATCGATGAGTATCCAGATAAAAGTCCTGAAAATATATTAGATAACTATGAGTGACGCAGTGAGAAGAAGTGGCAGGACTACTAAACATCTCTTTTAATCATGGACGAGTCCGTCCACATTAGCGGCGATTTTAACAGTCATAATCTTTAGATTGTTGCCTGCGAAGACCAGGATATGGACTGATTCATCCAGGCCGAAAATTTCTGTTACGTTACTCAGCACATGCCCATTGCCCGGCAATTATTTGCGCTTACGTTGCCACGAATGACGTCTAGAACCGGTCCCCATCTGTGTACGTGTAAGTTCGGTTTAAAAGAAATGCCTACACCCCGACTTTGCCCATCTCTCTAGCGCTGGTAGAAACATGAGTGAGTGATAGCAATATCTTACAACCAATAGGGGCAGAAGAGTACAATTGGCGCCGAGTAGATCAGCTGCAGCGATTTCCAATCCTTGACGAATATGGGAAACACCCCAGTCAGCGCTTCTCCGACGGCGAAGAAAGCATTAATGAAGATGCCACAGAACGCACGGGCCTCGATGGAAGTCAGCTCCATACCTGTGGGACACGCAGACGGCTGTGAAACGGTCGCACTACGCGCATGGTACTAACCAACTGGCATTAAATGTTTAACAGAAACAACGGCCAGCAAACAACTTAGCCGTCGTCGTTGCGTGCCAAAGACGGGGCCGTTCAATACGCGCCGACGTCCAAGTACCCCCGAAAAGTTTCATTGCATACAAGCAACGCGCACAATCCCGGAGAATCTATTTAATCCCGCATGACAGGTGTCCGGTATTTCTGGATTGGAGTAAAGTTAATCGAACCCTGGTACTTAATTGTGGTAGAAAAGGGACCCTGGAGTCATTGATTGGTCTGCCAGATGACCAGACCAGATACAAGCCGGTCAGGTCTTTTTTCGCCATATTAGGTATGCATGACAAGACATAAGCTTTCACTTTAATAGTGCTGCAGCTACTTGACTAGATTATAATGCGATTCAAATTGCATGTTAGCCTGTACAATGAGAGGTTTTAACATGCGCTCGGGTGGGGGTCAAATTGACCCCCAAGGCTTTCTCCGGAATGGCTTCCGAGTTTTGCCGTATTTTGCATAGCTGCACTTTGTTCAAATTTTGCATAGGTGTGGGCAATTGAATCGTAGATCGTCTGGCATAACAAATTTAGACGTACTTTGTAAGGTCGTTGACCTGTGGCATGTTAACGTCAGGCCATGGTTCCAGCGAAGGTGATTTCTAGGGAATCGTTCAATGCGATCAAACAACGGATAATTAGACGAAGCCATACCCCTCTGAAATACTTTCTTAGGTAACAAAACAATTGAGTGAACAAATTACGTCGACCTTTGGTCAGGTATAAAGGTCAGATCAAAGTCAAAATCAACCTGATTCATTTCTCTTGGGCTTGTTGTATGGGGTAGTTTCTGGTGCTATTTCAGATTTATTGACAAAAGAAACCGCATAATACACCTTCAGTGGACTTTTTAAAGATCAGAATAGGTCACTGACCTAAAATGACACAGTTCATCGTTTTGTTTTTAAGAGCAAACTGCCTAGCGTCATCTTTATCCTTTTTCCAAATGCAAAACTCAAAGAGGTCTTGCATGATATTGGTCACCATGACCTTCAAAGGACAAACGAGGCCACTGACCCTAGATGGGCGTGTGCCTTTGTGCTTAGAACAGTTATCTAGGTTCCAGGAGCCCTTTGGGGACCAACCTTGAGTTTGACCTAGTTTGACGTTGGTTGGCACAAAGGTCATAACTTAGGAACCTCAAACTTTGACCTAAGTGATTTCACGTACAGGTTAACACACCCTGTAGATTTGATGTCACTAGCTCTTTTAGTTCCTGAGATCTCAGAGGGGAGAGGGGTCAAAGTGACCCTCACCCGAGCGAAGGGTGTCCAACCGGCCACCCGAGCGCATTTTAACTAGACGTATATATTTAATAGACGTATGCATAATCAAATGGCCTATTTCCTATCGAGCGTAAATGTACAAATCGTCGTTTTGCCACCTAGTTTTGCAGGCTTTACCTTCAAAATAGCTTCACCAAAGAAAGAAGATTGATAATTGGGAGCCGGGAAACCACTCAAACGTACAGGAACGTAAAAGGTAAAAGAACTAAAACACTTGGTCTGATGCACCCCCTCCCTCGGCAAAATTCTGACGACGCCTTTGCGCTTGTGCGTTAACCTGTGCGGGATCCTGCGATGTTAACGAGCTCCGCTCCCTGCCTTCTGAATGTACGCGTCGATCAGTTTGCTTGGATCCATCGCAACAGACCCTCCAGCGAGGAACTTTCCAGGCAGTAAACATGAGGCGTCCCAGCCCGCAGCAAACTCGATGCTTCAGCCAGGCACCGGGGAGGGGGGGGGGGGAGTGGATCGGCCTGCGCGGCACGCACATATGTAACCTCCCCCCCCTCGCGCTGTCCCAGCCGGTAGCACACTCAACGCTTCAGTCAGGCCTCGGGCCTGCGCAGCACCCACACAGCACGAACGGCACGCTGAAGAAGCCGCAGACGACGGCTGCGGCGAAACGCAGACCGGTGTAGACGCCGTAGTTGGGCGCGAAGGCCGCGGCCGTGCCCACGGTGGCGGTGAGGACGACGCTGGCCATCAGCGTCACCACCCGGCCCCACCTGTAAGGGACGGCGCCTGATACAACCGTGCACGCCTGGGTCACGCGGAATGCTAGTGTGACGTGACATGCATGTTGTAGCACGTGATGCAGTTGCTGCAGTTTGTTGTTTCTTAAAAGATGTTATCCTAGCCTTTCGAATGGGTGGATTTCTGCGCTCAGGGCTCACTTTAAGCAGTGCTTGTGTGAACCCTGACATCTACCATTCGATCGTGCAATTCCAGGTCAGCGGCAGAGTTTGGTGGCGAGAGCTTAACGCGCAACAATGTTTGGCACGGTCCGTTTCGCCCTCCGATATCCTCTGACCTTTTTCGCGGCCGCTACCACCAGCCGCAAGCCATATCCGTCAAGAGCAGAGAGCGAACGCCTAAAGAGACTCGAACTCACCCCTCCACGGTGTGTGGATGTGAAGGCGGGCACTGACCAACGGAGCCATCGGGACAGACAAGTTTCAGTTCTGTGTTGACGTTACGGACGAACGAAAAGCAGAGCGGTCAAAGAAGGCGGCCGATCTGAAACTGCGAGGCGTTTGAGCAAATCAGTCCCGTTTTTCTGTGAACAAAAAAATTAAACAAAAGCTATATTGTCATTGCCGAAAGCCAACGATGTCCACACCACTGAAGCAAAAAGGCCCCAATCGGGCTCCAATCAGCCCTGCCTCACGCCACCGGCCGTGTGGGTTGTGCTTACCTGTCAGCGATGAATCCCGTCAGTATGGACCCGACAGCCACACCAACGAAAAAGAGGCTGGCGCCGAGCGGCCGCAGAGGCTCACTGTCGCATACGAGGTCAAACTGCGCGAGAGAACACCTTGTCATGCGGTGCTACAACGAACATTGCATGTGCCCTGTCGCTGTGGTAACAGGTGGCTTTCTATTATGATCTCCGCAATTTTCCCTATGATGGCCACACTGAAAACACGCTGCTGACTTATGCCGGCATGCAGGCGACAGCGTTTTTCTCATCGCTTAATAACAGGCATGGCTACAAATACACGCTACACACTCGCCCCTCCCTCATGTTTTCAGAACTAGCGCATTTGTTTCGAAACTAACGCATTTATTTTGAAGGCAGCGTGCTTATTGCTGTTGTACTTGGATGACATTTCAAATGACGTCATCCAATTTCTGCCACATTGCGCTTTACTTCAAAAAGCATTGCTCAACTCACACATGCTTGACACCAGATGTTGTGGCATATCAATCCACCTTTAGAAGAAAGGGAAATGAATTTGGCGACTAGTTATAACCCTACTGTCAAAAGATTAAATGAACGTGATGGAATATTTCATTGGAAATCCAAGGTGTCGAAAAAATGTGTGCGTGTCCAATTATCATTTCATATGTTAGGGCATCCTTTAATATACTTTCGAGAGGAGCCTGAGCCCCATTTCCAACTCTGACTTCAACTCCTCCCCTCCTCAGTGATACTTTGAGTCTCCTTAATGCATGTCAGGAAAATGAGAATACTCGGCCAAAGAAATGAAGAAAATTTATCTTTTATCTGTTTGTCATCACTACTGTTCATTTGGACTAAATGGTACTTCGTAGGCACATGACGCCTTTGTCATGCTTAATGTTCGATAAGTTAGGTCAGTCTACAAACACTCGACAAGTTTTTACAGGATGACACCTGGATTACGATCCAGAACAAGTGACTGACATATGCAGATGGCTTTTAAAAGTACGAGGAGGCCCAGAAAAGAGTTAACCCATGCTTCCCTCAACAGTGACAAGTGTATGTGTTCCAAAATCGTGGGTGTTGTGGCATTCGACTGCTAGTTCAGTGGCAAAACACATGCGATGCACACATAACGATAGCGAGACAACGAATAGCGACCACAAAGGACACCATTTTTAACAAACTGGGAAGCAACATATTTGCATGCTTAACATGCATATATATATATATATATATATATATATATATCGCGTCAGACTTCGCTAATCTTCATAAATCAGTCTTGTTTCGCTCTGGGCCATCTTCGATGAACGGGGAACGACGCCTTTTTTCGTCGATCACAAGAGTTTGAAATAATCAGAAATTTGTGTTCTGTGACTCACAAACTATTTTAAGCATTCACTTCAAGCATCTTCACATTGCATTGAAATGGGAAGTTATCGCTACGCAGCAAACAAAGGAGAGGGAATTGACGAAATGTATAAATTTTTACCGGAATTTGAACATCGGGAGTACGCAGAGAGAACGCAACTAGAGTACCCGAAACCAAAGGAAAAATGAGGTTTTGAGGGCAGTTAAGGTCAACCCTATCGACTAAGCCCCCACCCCCCAACCGGTTTCAGAAAGTTAAACTCCTGGCACACGTGCACTGATGTACACGGAAGTGTGCCATCCACGACGCCCGTGCACAGGTACGTGCATCTGGTCTTTGCATGTATGCATGAGCAAGAATCCAGCCTGACGCAACCGATATCGTCATCAAGCAGCCTTTAACCTCAACATGGGACATCGGCAGAAGTACTCTAAACAGAATATAGTCTGTGGCCAGCTAAGTCCAGCGTGGCTGTCATTCCTGAGCCAAATGTTGTTAGACCACGAACTGAGCCAGTGCGGCGTGGCAGAAAGAAGGGGCAGAGGGAGCAAGAGCGCGTCTTTGCCCGCTCAGAAGTCTAGCAGTTCCCTCGTGCTAAGCCTGAAGGTTCTGGATCTTCACGCACGCTATCAATACTAAAATCAAAGATGCTCCCGTAAGTGAGCCAGTGGTAAATACTAAATTGGGTAAAACTGTCCTTTGCTAAGCCAGCGTATAAAAATCGCGTTTCCAGCACAGCTTTGGCAAGAATGGTTCGTGCGGGAAATCGAAAAATTGTTTGTCCAACGCACTTTAATGAGGGCACGATATTGACAGTACCTCCAGTGCTTCAATCCCTCGGTGCCTACTCGCCTCTGAGACGATGGTGCTCTTCATGATGGACGTGTCGTACACCCACTGACTGCAGCCGACGCTCTGCCGGCCGAAACCCTCCGGGTGACAACCGGCTGTCAAGTTATCGCGTTTGTACACATCGCAGCGGCTCCACTGGTGCTCCCCGTCCGGCGGCGTGCTGAACGTCAGGAAGTCGGCGGTGTAGGTGGCGTTGCTGCCGTCCTCACAGCCCTCCACCAGACATCTGCGACAGTCAGCCCAGGGTCGCCGCATCGGCTCGTAAGAGGCCGATCTCGGCCTTCCAACCCGATGACTTCTCGTGGTCGTAATGGCTGACAGACAATGCGGTTGACTCTCTGCAGGCAGTGCTGCGACTCACAACTGTTAGAGCAAATGGCTTGATATGACAGACTTCGAGTCTAATTTCGTATTATGAGTCTGTATCTAGGTGGTCTCACGCTCCGAAGGTATTGTGGCATGAGTTAAGATTTTCTATGCTTCGTAACACACCTGCACCATCCACTGCGCTCAGGGCCTTTTTGAAATGTTAAAAACAATGTTCCACATTTTAATGGGGTTTTGAACTGAAATAGTCATCTCGAAGACCTTTCGGTGCTGTTCACAGCCCTATCCTTCTTGAGACCTAAGTCTAGCTAGTCTCTTAACCACGCTCCCGCGAAAATGGAGAAGGGTTTATAGGGGAGAATAGTTTCAAAGTCACCTTGGCATTCATATTCAAATCCTGCCATTCCATAAGCCATGCGACGATCAAGGGCAAAAAATAGATGCCGAGGCTTACGTATTAGGCGTTCGTTAACACGATTTCCAGATAAAATGACCGTTAATTAGAGCTTAATCATTGATGTGCAAGGTGTGATGACGTAATCAAACCATGACGGATTGAGAAGCGTAGTCACTCAGCAGAAAACTGTGCCGTCTAGAGCAGCCTTTTCTGCCTAAAAAGTATGCTAATTATATGAGCGGGTGAATTTGTTCACATAAGTGAGATTGTTTCATTATACCTGATGCTTAATTCAATATATTTCAATCTCGAGTATTTCTGTAAGTGCAATGGAAAATAATGAGCTCCACTGACGAGATACTTTACTCGCCCTCCGCTTCTTCTTCACACTGCTGTCCTAGCCCAGTTCTAGCCCCTACCTAGCCCCATCTCATAACGTTGCCAGTTCCCTGCATCTTTTTTGTAGTTTTTTTCAACTGAGCGCCATAAATAGGCTAAATCTGAACAAGAATCTGAATTTTGGGAGACGTTGGGGAAATTTTGGGATTCGTCACCTTGTTGGGAGTGCCCAGACTGAAAAGTGATTGTAAAAAACTGATTGTGTTGTTGCGACTGCATGTTTGAATTGCTCCTCGAACATCCATGACGATGCGTTTCCCCATCCGTCCCTCCTTCGACATGAACTCAACAAGCGGCGTTTACCGACCCCTGACCAGTATCCACCACTCACCCCGGCCGCCACATCCGCCATCTGAGTGGTCCTCACCACAAGCAGACCAGCATCCGCCAGACTACCATCACCACCAACTCTGGCCACCTGGTGGCGCACGGCTCGTACCTGTGCTCCATGGGGAAAGCCGTCCACGAGTAGCCGACTGTGATGGTCGCCGCAAAGATGGCCGGCAAGCAGGCGAAGAAGTACACCACCTTCTGGTAGCGCCCCCAGCCGTTCACCCGTTCCAACACCTCCTCCACGTCCATGTCGTGCCGTGCCGCCGCTGTCCACGGCGCTGCCGAACAGGGGTGCGGGCCGCTGAGGTCTGCGCACGTGCGCGCGCTGCCCCGTGTGCGGCCTGCTTCATCCCAAATGTGCGGTATTGCTATGGAATTTAGGTTGGCAATATTAGGAACTATGCACTTGACACGCAAGGCAAGTATTATGTAATGGAAATAATAAGTTATGCACACCTTCTCCATTCATTATTCGGCTCACCCAAAGTGAGACGAATGGGGCAGG